CTGAGGTAAGTGGGGAAGTGGGTGACCTGGAGGAAGAGCAAGCAGGAGGGGGCAACAGGGGAGGTGTACTCATTCTTCCTGAGAAATCAGGGCGATTTACTAGTTACCTCATTTGCCTGTACATAATTGCACGGAGCCTGGGAAACAAGCAGGAAGAACTGGAAGTCCTTGCACAGCCATGGAGGTATGACGTGACTGGAATAACAGAGACATGCTGGGAGCTCGCATGGCTGGAGCACTGTCATGGATGGGTATAAACTGTTCAGGAAGGACAGGCAGGGGACAGGAGGAGGAGGAGTTGCACTTCATCTAAAAGAGCCATATTGCTCAGCGCTCCAGTATGAAACTGGAGGTAGGACTGTCGAAAGGCTTAGGGTCAGAGGAAAGAGCAACAAGGGTGATGTCATGGTGGGGGTCTGCTATAGACCACCAGCCCAGGAGGAAGTGGTGGATGAAGCTTTCTTTGAACAGCTAGTGAAAGTTTCCCAATCACAAGCCCTGGTTCTCATGGGGGACTTCAATCACCCTGACATCTGCTGGCAGGGCAAGACAGCAGTGCGCAGGCAAGCCAGGATGTTTTTGGAGAGTGTTGGGGACAAATTCCTGGAGCAAGTGCTGGAGTGGCCAACTAGGGGCCCTGCTCTTCTTGACTGAGTTCAGGATCCCGAGGAAAGGAAAGAAGGAGAGCAACAGAGTAGGGACCCTGGACTTCAGAAAAGTAGACTTTGACTTGCTCAGGGAACTCATGGGCAGGATCGCCTGGGAAGCCAGTCTGAGGGCGAGAGGAGTCCAGGAGAGCTGGCTGTACTTTAAAGAAGCCTTACTGAGAGCACAGGAACAAAGCACCCCAATGCGCAGGAAGACTATGCAAGTGTGGCAGAAGACCCGTTTGGTTTAGCAAGGGACTCTTTAGTAAACTAAATCACAAAAAGGAAGCTTATAAGAAGTGGAAACTTAGACAAACAACTGGGGAGGGTTATAAGACTACTGCTTGGACATGCAGGGATGAAGTCAGGAAGGCCAAAGTACAATTGGAGTTGCAGCTTGCAAGGGACGCAAAGGGTAACAAGAAGGGTTTCTATAAGTATGTCCGTAACAAGAGGAGGATCAGGGAAAGTGTGGGTCCCTTACTGAATGGGGGAGGCAACCTTGTGACAGGATGCAGAAAAGGCTGAAGTGCTCAATACCTTTTTCACCTTAGTCTTCACAGGCAAGGTCAGCTCCCAGACTGCTGCACCTGGCAGCACAGCTTGGGGGGGAAGTGAGCACTCAATAGTGGTGAAAGAACATGTTAGGGACTATTTAGAAAAGCTGTACATATACAAGTTCATGGGGATGGATGGGATGCACCAGAGGGCACTGAGGGAGTTGGCTGATGCGATTGCAGAGCCACTGGCCATCATCTTTGAAAACCCATGGCTATCAGAAGAGGTCCTGGATTACTGGAAAAGGGCAGACATAGTGCCCATATTTAAGAAAGGGAAAAATGGAAGATCCAGGAAACTACAGACCAGTCAACTTCACCTTTTTTCCAGTTCCTGGAAAAAAATCATAGAGCAGATCCTCAAGGAATCCATTTCTAAGCACTTGGAGGAGAAAAAGGTGATTATGAGCAGTCAGTATGGATTCACCAGGGGCAAGTCATGCCTGACCAACCTGATTGCCTTCTGTGATGAGATGACTGGCTCTGTGGATGCAGGGAGACCAGTGGAGGTGGTATACCTTGATTTTAGCAGGGCTTTGGATATGGCCTCCACAATGTTCTTGCAGGCAAGCTAAGGAAATATAGGCTAGATGAATGGACTGTAAGGTAAATAGAAAACTGGCTGGAACATCGGGCTCAGAGGGTAGTAATCAATGGCTTAATGTCTACTTGGCAGTCGGTATCAAGTGGAGTGCCCAGGGGTCAGTTCTGGGGCCGGTTTTGTTTAATGTCTTCATCAACAACCTGGAAGATGGCATAGAGTGCACCCTCAGCAAGTCTGCAGATGACAGTAAGCTGGGGAGACTAATAGATATGCTGGAGGGTAGGGCTATGATTCAGAGTGACCTAGACAAATTAGAGGATTGGGTCAACAGAAAATGGGCCAAGGACAAGTGCAAAGTCCTGCACTGAGAATGGAACAATTCCATGCACCGGTACAGGCTGGGGGCTGACTGTCTGGGCTGCAGCTCTGCAGAAAAAGACCTGGGGGTTACAGTGGACAACAAGCTGAATGAGCCAAAAGTGTCCCCTTGTTGCCAAGAAGGGTAATGGTAAATTAGGCTGTATTGGTAGGAATGTTGCTAGTAGGGCAAGGGAAGTAATTATTCCCCTCTATTCTGCATTGGTGAAGCCACATCTGGAGTACTGTGTTCAGTTTTGGACTCCCCACTACAGAAGGCATGTGGACAAATTGGAGAGTCCAGCAGAGGGCAACAAAAATGGTTCAGGGGCTAGGGCATATGACTTTTGAGGGGCTGAGGAAACTGGGCTTCTTTAGCCTGGAAGAGAGATGACTGAGAGGGGACTTAGTAACAGCCTTCAACTACCTGAAGAGGGGTTTGAAAGAGGATGGAGCTAAACTGTTCTCAGTGTTGGCAGATGACAGAACAAGGAGCAATGATCTCAAGTTGCAGCAAGGGAAGTTTAGGTTAGATATTAGGAAGAATTTTCTCACTAGGATGGTAGTAAAGCGCTGGAATGGGTTACCCGGAGAGGTCGTGGACTGTCCATCCTTGGGGGTTTTTAAGACCTGGCTAAACAAAACCTTGACTGGGATAATCTAGTTGGGGATGGTCCTACTTGAGCAGGGGGTTGGACTAGATGACCTCCTGAGGTCCCTTCCAACTCTGATTTTTCTATGATTCTGTGTCAGTAATTTAACACCTGCAAATTCCTCTAATTTTAACCAAGGATGGTGTAGGCTAGTGGATAGTTCATTCTAATGCATTTGTTGGCCAAGTCATCCTGCTTCTCACAGCTGAACATTTCCATTTAAGATTTCAACCTTTCTTTACTGTGTTCATAGTGTATTTGTAGATTATTTTGTACTGGTTCTTTAAACAAAAATGGATCTCCGCCTTTTATGTTTTGTGTAAGGCAATCCAAGGAGGGGAACAGGTCGTATGACCTTGTCTCAAGCTGCAAATAGACAAATCCATGCACTACAGAGCTTTCAGACAGCCCCAGCGGAACACTATGGAAAGTGTTGCGAGTGGCTATGCCTGAGGCAGGGTCCTCCTCTAAACAGGACTTCGCAAGGCCAAACTAGGATTGGAAAGAAAACAAAGCCTCTTGTTACCATGCACATTCAATGATAAAAGCTTCCACTGTGAGAACATGGAGGAGAAGCATTTGCCAGAGGCAGCTTCTCACCCATGTTGCACTGAGGTGGGTTTTTCCATTTTGGACAGCTTGGAAAGCAGCTGGAGTCTGGAAGCTTAGGGCTGCAATAACATACTTAAACGTCTCAAAAATGTATGCGAGACATTTTGGAGAGCACATCTTTGAAAATGAGGATTCATGGTGTCTGGAATATACTTTTAAAAGCAACCTTTGCACAATTTTGAGGGATTTCTCCTGTATACTGTGATAGTTTGGCACAGGACAGTCACATGCCTAAAGTCAATTTTGTCACTGCCACAGAACAGTAATCTAGGCGAGGATCCTGAGCTGCACCTTACCCTCGGCCCAAGATGCATTAACACGATACTGTGAAGCAAGGCTGTCAACTTGTGGCCAGTGCAACCCCCGCACCGCGCACAGGACACCAGGCCACACAGGCAGGCTGGCCCCTTATGCACAGCACCACTAGGTCGACTCCCCCAGCCACCACATACTGTCTAGCCAGTGTTTGGTGGGGGTGGAGAAGTGGGCTTCGAGCCTCCCTGCACTTCCAAGATAGGTGGCAGCAGATGCTTTACAGCATACTTTCTGACCAGTGTACAGAAGTTATTTAAAGTGCTGTAGGTTGCTAAGGCACTGTAAAATAGTACTTCAAATTTAATACCTTTAATGCAAGGGTTAAAGTGCTGTAAAGCTGTGCACTTGTTAAGTCATAGCAATAAAGCCCTTTAAATGGTGTGAAAAAGCAACTTCTGTACACCCTTCAGTGAGATGAGGGAGGAGGAACCCAGAGACCCTGGCCTCTGCAGCAGCAGGAGCAATGGGGGCCACAGCAGCCAAGTGGCAGTCCATGGGCCACATGCTAACCTCTCATGGGCTGCATGTAGCTTGCAGGCTGTCTGTTGGACAGCCCTGCTGTAAAGGCAACAGAGCTACTTTTCTAGACCTGCAGAAAGACCTACCCAGTCTTGGGGTAAATGACCAAACTCCAGGTCACACTCTCCTACCCTTACTATTTCAATAAGCCCTGTTTTGAGCAAGCTGTAGGCAGGTCAATTTGCTGTTATGACATGCTAGATTATTCTGTAGAACTGACTACTAAGAAGCTCTCCTAACAATGTAATAGGGAAGATTTAAAACTACACAGGTTTTTTTTTTTAATAATATTTGAAGTTTTAAGTTCATGAAACATAGCATACTGGAGGAAAATAAAGAATGTACACGTGGATTTCTCTTACTAATGCTCAATACTCAAATCACAAACCAGCTAAACAGGTTAACTGCCAAGAAAGGTTGGAAAACGTACTGATTTTTGCACAAGTTAGGAAAGACTGTATGCCAAAACCTTCCACTATAATCAGGTAGAATTTATTTTTAATACAGGTGGATGCCTCAATGATACTTTGAGTTTTAAGAAGCTGTACTTGAGATGTTGCTTTCCAAGTCTTCTCTGCCAACCAAAATGCATAACTGAATACTACACCAATGATCTTAGTTGCCCCCAGATTCAAGAATCTCTCTCTTCAAGGAAAGCCAGAGAACAAGACATTTGGTCTAAAACCTTTAATAAAAAAAAAGTAAAATCAAACATACTGCTGAAAACGTCAGTAAGAATGAGAATCTAAGTGTTCAAATCCAGAATAGTGCAAATTCCCCCCCTTCCCTTCTATAAACTGATCACTTTGGTTCATATACTTACAAGTATTGGCAAAACTGAACTTCTGACTTTTAATTTTTGGCTATGTGATTTTTTTTATTTTAACACAACAGAGTTAGCTTCAGGTCTTTCAAAATAAACTTTAAAATACTTTTCACTTTCTCAAATCTAATATATTTACACTTCATTGTCATGTTTAATTGCATTTTGTGGGAATTGATACTGGTAACCACTTAATATTAGCCATTTTACTAGACAAACTGGTCCAATCCTGATCTTGTGAACTTACGAATGCATGCAAGTTTCTCAGAATAGCCGCACTGATCTTAATGATAGAATATGGGCCAGACTCTTTTCCACCTTTTAGGCATCCAAGGGCATTTGGGTTGTCTCAGTACAACCTGATTCCATTCTTATCAAGTCCCAGGAAAAATTGCAAACATATGTACTTGTATACTGAACCTTCACCTTAGCTTTAAGGCCAAGGTACAGCCTGCACCACTAAAGTTTTGCAAGCAGAACTCTGGTACCTACTGGAAGCCCCTCTGTGGCAACAGCCCTCCACTCTGCCTGCACTCATGTTTAACCAGCTATGGCAGCCTACTTAGCAGTTAGTACCCTTCCAGGGTGTACTTCACACTGTGATCACAGGGCTGCTGTAGTGGAGCCACGCAGAATCACCAGCAGCAGATATTTGTACACAGTGGCTGCATAGTGTTTACACACTTGGGACACAGCATTTCTTTTCAGGGACGTTTCAGGATGGGATGGAATTCTTCTTGCATGTCCAACAGGTGGAATAGGATCCAGCCCTAAACACTTGCAGTAGGCCTTCTCACCAATGCAGTTATTCCATATTTACACTCAGTGGGCATGTCTACACATTTCGCTATGGCGATGATGTTACTGTGCCATCATTTAGTACTTCCAAGACAGTGCAGTAACACCCCATACTGTGCCATGCACCATTATTTTTAGGCATGATGTTGCCATAGCGACACATAACAGGGAGCACATCACTATGGCATCAGTTTGTGACCATCAGCTCTACATCATCATGGCATCATATGTAGATGTGCCCAGTGAGATCAGAATTGGGCTCAGTTTTTAAGCTAGCCATGGTGGTGAGGTAAAGGCAACTTTGCTGTTCAAGTTGTTCCCCGCAACCCCCTTACAAAAAAGTCAGTTCAGGATTTAGAAGTCTGAACTGGAAGTGTTTATAGGATTTCCTTCAAAAAGGAAATGAAGCCCAAAACACTACTATTTATTCACAATGTCTGACAGGACAACCTCCAAGGAGATGCTACTGACTAAATCTGAAACCACATAAAATTGGAAATGAACAAAAAATTGCATAATACAAAAGGCAAGTTCATAAAAGTTTACAAGCACACCATAACCACAAAACTGGAGTATTTCTAAAAATGTGGGTTTGATAGAAGGTACAATAAAACTACCTTTACTAGTTAAATAAATTATTGCTCCATTTTGACTCCATGCAGCATTGAAATGAACTTGGAACCCTTTTCTCTTTAATCACTCATAAGAAACAATGAATATTGAAGAGAATACAAGGCTCAGATTTTACTGTACATTGCACTTTAATTTTAAGACCTAATACTTGCTATTTAGGTCTATTGTGGTCTAAGCTATTAAATGAATACATTGTGCTCACCAAAACTAAATATTTAGAAACAACAAATGTTTAATGTAGTGACTTAATCACTTTTCTTTTTACAAGGCAATCACAGATTGCAAGCTCCATAGGGTTGTAAAAAACAAAAACAAAAAAAAGCAGTGATCTCTGGTCAGAAACTTAACTGCGAGTCAAGCTAGTAACTCTGGCTAACTTGTAATATAACAAGTTATTACATTCCAGACCTGCTTCTAACTCCACTGAATTCAGTCAAAAGTCTGACTAAAAGTGAAGCACAATAATGCCCATTGCAGGGCCTCATTTCACTTTCAAGAAAATGAAAATAAGTCGGACTATTAGTGGGAGTTAGGGCCAGGTTAAATTACAATGAGCATGTGCAGTTTCCACCCATTTCAGGGCTACTGAAGATGCTTGGCATTTCTAGGGCTCTGATTTATTAAAATACCAAAGTATATGCCCAAATTTAAGCAATACTCACTTAAAAACCTAGGCATATGCCCAAGAACCTTTATAGAACTGGGGTCAGAATACTGACCCCTTCTGTAAGTGACTTCAAAATCTTCATGCAGCATTACAAATAAGGTCATGATTCCTTCATATAAAACTTCTAAAAGCACTTAGCTTTTAAATCTTGTTGTTTTGATCACTTATTTTTAAGTAACCCTATTTTTAAACAACCCTATTTTAAAAAAGATTTGGATAAATACTATTCCTATTAAAACCATACTTCATCTTTGTTAAGCACCATCAATCTACTTCCTTTGGGCACTGGTACAAGAGCTTGTAATTAAATTTTAGTTTCAAGGCTTTGAAATATGGCAGCTGCTTTAATAACTTAAATTGCAATCTAGTACTTGGAAAACTGCCATGTAGCCTGAACTGCTGCATAAAACGTGGCATTACATTCTTCCAGAGAACAGCCAGGCGCAAATGCTTATACAGTAAATCAAGGAAAGATTTCAAGATAGGCAGTTAATTTCACTTGGCTATTCTAAAAATGAGATTAATATTTTTCACAAGTCATTTGTGCAGTGAGCCCATAGATTATTTAGAAAAAAAATAATCCGCAGTTCGAAACAGGAACACATCTTCTTTTTCTTTCCTCCACACTGGCACCATGTCTTTTGCTCCAGTGAGTTAGTCATTGTGTGGTTTCTCAGGAATACCCTGTGGTTAAACAAAACCCAAAGAGATTAATATAATACAGTATGCAACACTGCATTTCTGTGTCACATGACTTATGTACTCAGAGACAGATTACCACCTTAAAGCTTTCCAGTCTTGGAATAATACTGAAATAACTTGAACAAGCTTGCTCCAATGTAAGAGTCACTGGCTGTAGATCTAGAAGGAGTTGGATTCTAATCTGAACTCTGCCAGGTATGTGCTGTCCAACCTTGGACAAGCTATTTCACCTCTGTGCCTCACTTAAATCTGATAAACAAGGAGGATATTTCTTTTTTTCCTTTTCAAAAGACAATTGGTAAGAGCCATGGATTAACACTCACAAAAATGGATATTATATAGCATTTACAGTAAGCCTCCCAAGCAATTGTTAAGAATAATTCTTCAGAATCCTGACCCGTAAATAATTAATTTTAAAAATAAAATACTGAATTCAGTTAATATAACATTATAGCTGGTCATGCAGACCTCCTTTCAGAACATTTGTAAATTCATCCACATTCAGGAAAGTAGTTCTACTGAAAAGTTAACAATGTGCCTAAGTCCAGTGCACCCATGGACTTTAGAAAAGCACTTGCTGTTGAACCGGGGTGCTTTTCACACTTCCATCTATGGAAGCATTCCCAATGGAGCCATCAGTTTAACAGATTGGACAGATGCAATTCGCGGGTGAAAAACTAATGCATCACTGTGCTTCTCCTTTCAAGAGAATAATTTATAAACAAGTGTGTTTTTAATTTTAAAATAATTCCAATGTATTTATCTCATTACTGATATTAAGTTACCAGTGTAAACTACAACCCGAACTCCTTATTAGACTGACTTAACAAATGAAAAGGTCATTTTTTGCGAGGTAGTAACTTTGACATCACTGGCTGTGGCTGGAGACCATATACTGTCTTCCCTTGGTCTGCCTGTTATACTCCAAGCACTAACCATGCCCTGCACGTACAGCATAGTACGGGTGGTTACTGCACCATGCTTTAAGCACAGTACAGTAACAACACAGGGCAACACATACACGTCCATTTTCCAAAATAAGAGAAGTAGGCTTTGACATGTATGTTCACTAAAACAACTCTTAGCACATAGTATAAATTATCCAATTAGCGAATCTGTCCAGCACTGATTACTTGAATTGTAGGCCTCTTCAGCAGGTTAAACAGTATCTTAGTCAAAAAAAACCCCCCAAAACACAAATGAACAAAAAACCCAACATTTCCAGTGTGGCTTCTTCCCCTTTGCCAGAATTCCCCTTTTCATGCTAAGGTCTGGAGAGGTGCAACGAACACGGCCACCTGAGCTCTGAGTAGAACCTGAACTGTCAGAGTTGTAGCCTGATCTTTGCCTGTTCTTTGGCTCTATTTACAAGTCTCTCTCTCTCAGGCATGCGTGTCCCCATCTCCATCATTTACTACTAACTTTCTGTGACTATTTCAAATACCCCCAGGTTCCTCACTGCCTGGATGTAGAAGCACATTGTTGCAAGAATGAAACCAACACACCACCAGTTTGTTCAGGTTTAGTTTAGCCGGTTCATTATTCAGATATTTTGGATGTTAGAGCAGCTTGATGTTTTCAAATGGTCTTGACTGAAGATTTAGAGAAGAGGCAGGAAATTACTTGGGCTGGAGTTTGGGTCAACTGTTGGGGGGGGGGGGGGGGG